TTATTATAAAGAAGTGTGTCATCTCATTTCGTTTCTTCATATTAATTAATAAATAAAAGTCACATTTTCTCAACCTTTAAATTGTCGATTATTTCGATTTTTTTTAATATCAACTTTTTAAACTTTGTTCTCTTTTTTCAAGGTTTAGGTTAAATATGAAGGGCTTATTGCAGTAACTCGATATGCCACCAACCATCACAATTAGGGTTCTATAAATCGACTTTCGAATAATCGAACAATCGACTTTTTGTCGAAAAAAAGTCGAAAAGTCGAAGTCGACTATTTTGTTCCAAAAAAGTCGATAACTCGACTATCGTCTGTGAAAAAAGTCGACTTTGTGAATAAAAGTCGAAAAAAGCCGAAAAGTCGAAAAGTCTGAAAGTCGAAAAGTCGAAAAAAGTCGATAAGTCGAAAAAAGTCGAATAAAGTCGAAAAAAGTCGAAGAAAGTCGAAAAAAGTCGAAGAAAGTCGAAAAAAGTCGAAAAGTCGAAAAGTCGGAAAAAGTCGAAAAATCGAAAATTGTAGAAACAAGTCAAAAATAGCCAAAATTTTTAAAAAAGTGGAAAAAAAGTCAAAAACTCTAAAATAGTCGGAAAAACTCGAAAAAAGTCAAACAATAGTCGGAAAAAAGTGAAAGAAGTCGAAAATAGTCAAAAAGTCGAAAAAATCGAAAAGTCGAAAAAAGTCGGAAAAAGTCGAAAAAAGTCGAAAAAAGTCGAAAAAGTCGAAAAGTCGGAAAAAGTCGAAAAGTCGACTATTTATAAAATACTTATAGTCGAAAAGTCTAAAAGTCGACTTTTATTTAAATGAAAAAAGTCGAAAAATCGACTTTTCATAAAATGCAAAAAGTCGAAAAGTCGACTTTTAACTAAATGAAAAAAGTCGAAAAGTCGACTTTTCGTTTCAACTATAGAACCCTAATCACAATTCGATTTTATGTGCTTTTTGAGTTGCTAGGAACCATATCTAATGTCCCTAAAGAGATTTTTAGCGTATTATGGAAAATTTGGATATGGATATAAGGGTCATGCGACTTTTTAAATTTAAACAATTTAAAAAAAAATTTTATTTCATAAACTCGATATGCCACATATATTTTTTATACTTTTTAAGAAAGTCCTTTATAATGATGGAGATAAAAGCGGAATTGATATTTTTTTATGTTACTGTGATAGAACATGTTAAGACAAGTATCATTATACGAAGAGAAAAATTTTTTGCTCGAAATATCGGGAGATATAATTTTTTGAAATTAAAGTGGCTTACCATGTTACTGCATAAAAATAATCTATATATATAAAAATGAATGTGTGTATGTTTGTATGTTTGTATGTTTGAACGTTATAGACTACTAAACGGCTGAACCGATTTTCTTGAAATTTTCACAGCATATTCCTGCATGTCTGGAATAGGTAATAGGCTACTTTTTATTTCGAAATTTCAAGTGGGCGATGAGCCACGCCCACATTAAGAAAATATAAAATCCGTATATTTTAGATAATATAACAGTTAGAGTCCTCAAATTTTGTCGGAGCCACTTTAGTGTCAATATGATCATTTAGGACAAAAAGTAGGCGGACTAGCATTAGGGGGCGTGGTACCTCCCATATAAATTAAATACAAAAATTCGTTTATCTGGGAAACTAATAGAACTAAATTCTTAAAATTTAGCACGAAGAACTTTAACATCCATATAAACATTTTGGGTAATAAATTGGCGGACTACCCATGAGGGGAGCGGCACCTCCCATATTAATTAAATACAAAAATTCGTTTATCTGGGAAACTAATAGAACTAAATTCTTAAATTTTTGCACAAAGAACTTTAACATCCATATAAACATTTTGGGTAAAAAATTGGCGGACTACCCATGAGGGGAGCGGCACCTCCCATATTAATTAAAAACAAAAATTCGTTTATCTGGGAAACTAATAGAACTAAATTCTTAAAATTTTGCACGAAGAACTTTAATATTCATCTGAACATTTTTAAGGAAAAAAGAGCGGACTTTCATCTGGGGGGCTTGGAGCCCCCATATGAATAAAATAGAAAAATTCGTATATCTGAGAAACAATTAGAGCTAGAATCATTAAATTTTACTTGAAGAACTTTGACATTCACCTGAACATTTAGAATATAACGGGCGGACTTCCAATGGGTTACTTGGTACCTCCCATATGAATTAAATACAAAATTTCGTTTAACTGGGAAACTAATAGAACTAGATTCTTCAAATTTTGAACAAATTATTTTAATAATCATCTGAATATTTTGGAGGAAAAAGGGCGGACTTTCATCCGGGGGGCTTGAAGCCCCCACATGAATTAAATTCGTATATCTGAGAAACTATTAGAGCTAGAATCTTAAAATTTTACATGAAGAACTTTGACATTCATGTGAACATTTAGAGAATAACGGGCGGACTTTCAATGGGGGGCTTGGCACCACATATATGAATTAAATACAAAATTTCGTGCATCTTGGAAACTCTTATATTATTCAAATTTTTTGTAGATAGATAGAAATTGGCGATAGATAGAAACTGGCGAACTTGCAATAATTTGCTTGACATCTTTTATATGTAACATATAATAAATCTGGTATTTATTTATACATATTCCTTTTAGGGTAGCAAAGCACACTGGGTATAGCTAGTTTCATATATAATTATGTTGCTTATCAAGTTCTTGCTGATTGGAAAATTTTCGATTGCAAAGCATCAATAAATTTTTCTTATAGATTTACTTTCATTTCGTGGAAAAATCTTATATAATGTACTATGTGCTTAATATAAAGTCATATTTATCATACCAAATTAGCAAAGACATTGTAGCATATCCTATAATCTTTGTAAAACATATCACAATCATCAGCATATACAAAAAGCATAATATTATAACGCCTGTTATATAAAGTGCATATCGAAACCTCTTTTGAACAATGGACTTAAAATTTATAAAATCCGTGCAAGACTTCTGATACAACATGCTTCGAAATTGGTTCAGATGTTTAAAATGATGATCAAGAAGCAGAAAATCAACTATGCTGCACAGTGGTATAGGAAAAAAAAAGAGGGAAATAATTCGGTAACTTCTAAACGGTTAATCCGATTTTCATGAAATTTGGTATGCACATAGAGGAGGTGTTGTCGAGTTTAGGTTTTGAATTTGGACATTATAGGCCAACCAGGGGCCCGGCGGAGGGTCCTCAAATTAGGACACCTCGGCTATGTTAAATTTTTAAAACGATCCTATTTCTTCATTTGAGTTCCGATTTAAAAAAAATTTCGTATATAGAATCTCCTCATATAATGGCCTATAATGTCGAAATTCAAAAAGTAACTAAAATATAAATTTCATATTGAAAATAAAATTTATAAATTTTTTTGTAGCAAGAAGCCACTTTGAAAATGTACTAGAACTTGTTTTTTGAAAATAAAAAATGTTCAAATATTGTTAGGCAATAACTTGATAAGCCACAATTTTTTGCTTAAACAGTGATTTTCACTTTATTTATGATATCCATCTATTGGCATACGATAGTTATTGACATTATATGATTATTAGGCGTGTTTAAAGTACAAATTAAAAAAAAACATTTTTTTGAGATTTTTTTTAAACTTTAATGTCGATTTACGCAAAATTTTATTTTTGTGGCATATCGAGTTACTGCAATAAGCCCTTCATATATAATGCTTTAAAATAAAAATATTTCTTTTAAAAATGTTTGCCAGAGAAATATCTAAAAGTACCTACATCATAATCAATTTTCGACTTTTCTTTACAGATGATGTGCTCAACTGTCTCTAGTTCCCCAACATCCTTACTTAACCTGCAGAAGTCCGGTACAGTATTGTCTCACTTTACTGACGAAAGTTCTAATAGAACAATGCCTCGTTATAATCCCTGCCAGAGTCCATCAAGTCTTGACCACTATTTCAGAACTTATTAACAATGTCACGGAATCTAACAGAGATCAAAATACAATAGTTCAAATGGGTAATTTTACCCTTCTGTCCCTTTTATATGGGGGAAGATTCAAGTCGCTTTTACATATCGACTACAAGACTAGCATAATCCAAAAAAGTCGTTTCCAGAAAAATGCATTGAATATTTAATGACTTGTTACTATTTATTTTAACTAAATTTTAAACACATCAAGGTATTTGAAAATTAAACCAGATTCAGATAGAAATATTTCAAATTTGATAAATCCATATGAAAGATTTTAATGAGGCATGTTTTCTAATCTAATCCACCCCTATTATGCATTTCAATTCGAATCGAAATTTTCTCCGTTTGGTAACTTTGGTATACTGCATTTCGATTCGAAGCTCTGTCACTAAAACAATAACTTACATAAACGTAGTTACAATCGTAATGCAGAATACACACAATCGTAAAACATTTAAATAAAATGGAATTGCTTCTTCTTTTTCTTACGATTCCGTTTTTTGTTGGAATACCAATTTTCGAACGTAGCGTAACTGAATGCGGAAACGTATTCGAAACGCAGAATAGGGGTGATTATGCCAGTCTTGTAGTAAATGTATATAAGGACATTTTCAATGGTTTAACACAAAGAATATAGTTTAACATAAGAATTAAAAATTACATTTAAAATTGATAAATTTAAATTATTTGCAATATTTAACAATTCAAATACAAAACGATGTCAAAACATTAGGATAAAATATGGTCTATTCGGAAATGCATCAATGCACTGCATCTGATGATTAGTTTCTAATGCTGATGCAAATAAACTGATTTACATTCGTTTAAATGCGTTTGATGCATTTCTCCAAATGTACTGGACATCAGAAGCAGCGCAGTTATACTTTTCCTAACAGGACCATAGTAAAATTGTTAATGGTTATTTTAAGTTTTAAAAATATTATATCAACTATTCAACAATGAACAAACATTTGCCATATTTTCACAAACTTTTTACAATTAAAACTTGTTTCATTAATTAACATTAAAATCAAACGATATTTGACTTTTTTTTTAAATAAATGAATGCTTTATTTAGCTTAAACAACACTTATAACAATAGTTATTACATTTCTTTAAAGTTTTTAATAAATATTTTTTAGATGGGATTTATTTAACATCGATATGGTAGTTAAAACTAACTCATATTTTCTTGCATAATTGTATTTTTTTGTTTAAGTTCATCTTTAAATATATGTATATTTGTCCAACTAATTAAAAAGCATTTAGCTAAATATAGGTGCCTCTTCTTTGGTTTTACTAACAATTATTGAAAGCATTCTAAATTCATTTTCTTAATATTTAATACAAAATTTATGTGAGGTACAAGGTTTTTGTTTTTTTCAATATGTTTTGAATAATTTTTGAAAAAGAAAGACATTTCAAGTTGTTGTTGATTTTTTTATGATTTTTTTTTTATTGTTTTTTGTTAATGATTTTTTTTGTTTAAATTTATTTTGTGCTTAACAATTAAAATATAAATAAATTATATAATGTAATGATGTTGTAGAGTTGTCTTCTAAATTATGCTTATTTATGATGTGGTTTTTGTTGTTGTTGTTCTAGTAGTAACATAGTTTTTTCTCTTAATGTCTTCATCATCATAATAATTACTGTTCTAAATTTGTAATTTCTTTGTTTGTTTGTCCTTAATAAATAAATTGCAATAAACAATTAACGTTTCTCAAACTCTTGAATAAATTAATAAGCATGGTTGGCAACGAACAAAGTGGCATCGGCACCAGCACCAACAACACTACCGGCAACATATTTGCCAACAGCGGCTTCACCGTTACCCTAGAAAAAGGAAGAAAAAATGGCAAAAGTTATGGTTAAAACAAAATGTTCAAAAATTTTAAAAATGTCATTAAAATGAGATTTTTCACAGTTGTTTTCTTTAAAATTAGTTTAAATTCTAACTAACAAATTGCATAATTATTGTAAAATTTAACTTTGATTTCAAAAATTACACACAAAAATAATTAGTTACTTTATAAACTAAAAACTTATACTTAAATTTATAGATTTTTACAGTATTTTAGGAAAAAATGTTGTCAAATATTTTTGTAAATAATAAATTTTATTATGGCCAATTAAAATTTGAATATCCTAAATACATAATATTTTGATTATAACAAGAATTTAATATTAAAAAATATATAAGTTTAAAAATATATAAAAAAAACATAAATTTATAAGACTTTATAAAATATATTAAAAAAATTATAGGGAATTGCACTGGTTCTTTGTAGCATTAGTTTTTTAACAAACCAACATTGTCAATATATTTTTTTAAATTTTATTTTTTTAAGTAAGTTCCAATTGTATTGCTTCGTCATGGCACTTCTCTATATCCAATAAGTCTTATAACATTGTTTTTAGTAAAAGTCGCGCCAATATGGTTCTTTTAAATAAAATTTAGCAGACTTGTTTGTTTAATATTTGTGCGAGGCAACAAATAAACTGGCATTAGCAGCAAAGGAAGGAATAGAGCCAGCTTCATATTTGCCTTGGCATGCAAGTGCATTAGCCTGCATAAGGTTTTAGAAAATAATAGATTTTTGGTGAGTAAATAAATTAAAAAATAATAGAAATTAAAAAATAAAAAATCAAGCCAATTGTAAAATTAAAAACAAAATGCAAACATAAAAAGAACGATTAAAATCAAGCCAACTATTGATTAAAAAAAATATAATGAATGAATATTCAATGCAAAAACAAAAATTGTAAAATTATAAAATAATCGATGAATGATAATGAAAATAAATTAAAATTGTGTTAAAAAATAATCAAAAAGTAAAAATATTTAAAAAACAACTTACAAATAATTTAAAAAATTAAATATGAAATACAATTAGAGGGTTAAAAATGGGAATTTTGATTAAATGGCATTTGTTAGTTGTTATTAATTTTGAAATAGTTTTTAGTATGCATGATCTTTAACAAACAAATCAGCACCAGCAGCATAGCCCGTAACGGAACCAGGAACATAGGTACCTCTTGAGGAATCTCCATTAGCCTAATAATAAGTACATGTATTTATATAAAAATACACACTTATATAATACTTGATTTAAAAAAATAGTTTCATTTTCTGAAAATTGGCTCAGATTAAAAGAAATCTATATTAAAAAAAATAAACACTTTTGATCAAATGTTAAGAATTTTTTCCTTGAGAAAGTGAAATCATATAAATAATATTTAATTCATAGTTGTTTTCTACAGAATTAAAAATTTTCCAAAATTTCAAATTCGAAAGGAAAAAAAGTTCGTTTCCACTTATAAATAGTTTTAATTAAATTTTTACTATACAATTTAGGAAATCTCCACCAGACATAAATTTATAAGAGTGTGTTAATAATGAAATAAGTAGTTAAAATATATGGAATATCAGACATAAACTTAATACATAATTATGTATTATGTGTTAGCTGTGAAACATACAAAAGGCCTTACTATTCATAACAATTTATCAAAGTTTTATAAGACAATTTTTTATACAAAATTTGTTTTATAAACCTTTGATAACATGTTTTGAATTAGGCAAATGTAAATTATTAAAAAAATATATAATATTTTTTAACGATTTGGGGTTATAAAATACTTCTGGACACTTTAATACATAAAAACCCTTTAAGACTAATTAAAAAATAATCCCAACAAGACTTAAAAACCCGAAACAACCAATTAAGCCCATAATCCGTAAACAATTTGTTAAAGAAAGACTTACCTTAGCACGCTTAATCAATTCGTTTTGACCAGCAGCAACATTTTCCTTCTTGCCGCCCCAGGCGCGGAGTACGGAAGCTTGCAAAGCACGACCGTAAGAGAAGGTCAAAGCCCATGGCTTCAACAAAGGAACTTGGTTAATAGCGTTCAAGTGAACGGAAGCTTCTTCTTCAGATTGACCACCAGACAAGAAGGTGATGCCTAAACATTTTACCAAATCAAACAAAAAGTATGTATAAGTAAAATAGACTCTTGAGTGTTATTGCTCATATACTAACCGGGAACGGCAGCGGGTACGGTTCTGCGCAAAGCAGTAACGGTAGCCAAAGCAACTTCTTGGGGTGTGCTCTTCTTGGGGCAGGATTGACCGGGGGTGACCATGTTGGGCTTCAACAAAGTACCTTCCAAGAAGACGTGGTGATCGTTCAAGGCCTTGTAGACGGCAGCCAAGACGGTTTCAGTGACCTTTTGGGCACGGTCCAAATCGTGATCACCATCGGGCAAAACTTCGGGTTCAACAATGGGGACAATACCTTGAGATTGGCAGATGGAGGCATAACGGGCCAAAACATTGGCGTTCTCCAAGATGGATTGGTAAGAGGGAGTGTTCTTGCCGATCTTCAAGACGCAACGCCACTTGGCGAAGTCGCAACCGTCCTTCTTGTATTGGGCGCAACGGGCAGCCAAGTCATCCAAACCTTGGGTGGTGCATTCATCTTCAGAGCCCATCAATGGGACAACACCCTTATCGACCTTGATGCCGGGAATGATACCGCGCTTCTTCAACAATTCAACGAAGGGAGTACCGTCATCAGCCTTTTGGTACAAGGTTTCGTGGAACAAGATAACACCAGAAATGTTTTCGGCAACCTTGGGGTCAGCGGTGAACAAAAGTTGACGGTAGGCGCGACGGTTGTCTTCAGTGTTTTCAACACCGATGTCCTTCAAGCGCTTGCCCATGGTGGAGACGGACTCATCAGCAGCGAGAATACCCTTGCCGGGGGCAACGATGGCCTGGGCAATGCGGGTAAGTTCCTTTTGCAATTCGGCGGAGGGGTAGCTGAAGTAGGTAGTCATTTTGAATGAGATTCGCTTAACTGTAAGAGTGAGAAGAACAAGAATTAATATCGAAAAAGTTAGTATGTATAGATGTACATTAAATTGATTTTGATTTAAGTTAAATTTTATTATTTTTTATTTGATCTAAAGAGAAAATTTGTTATTCTAATTTGAAGTTACTTTTTTTTAAAAAAACTTGATAATTTTATTTTTTCTTGTATAAAGAAATTTAAATTTGGTTTCAAATTTTAATCACTTATAGGATTTCAATTTGAAGTTTTAAAACCAGTAGAGAATTTTTTGTGTATGTATAAGGTATGTATTTATACAAGTATACACAATTTTCAATTATTTCCTATATAGAATTCCAAGAAAGTTTTTAGCACTGATTTTTAACAATGATAAAAAATTTGTATTATTTTATTAAAAATTTAAATGCATTATTATAAAATAAATTTCCAAATTTTTTATAAAACTTTACAATTCTTAGAACCTTTACTGTAATAATGTTTAGCAACAATGTTGAGAGTAAAACTAAATGTTGGCAATGTATACGAATGTAGATTTTGGAAAAAACACAAATTTTATGAATGAAAATTATTTTGTTTTAAATTAAAAAAATATTATCGAATTATGAAAAAAATATTTAAATGATTTTCAATAATTCTATTTACAATAGAAAAACGAGTATAATTTTTATTAATTCTAGATTTTTATAGATTTATTTAAAAAGTTTAAAAACTGTTTTTCATTTTAGATAGTATTTGTAAAATTGTTTTTATTTTTATGTAAATAAATTTATAACTCGTATGTTGTAATAATATTAAAATGTTTCCCAATTATTTATATTAATTTAAAAAATTGTAACTTATTTTTAGATACCTTGAAGTAACTAGAAGTAAATACTATTGAACCTTTCGGGTTAATGTAACTTGACAGACTGATGTAACAACTAAATGTACAACTGAAATTATGCCGTGTTTTTTATGGAAAATTTGAAAGGAAATACTGGGGGTAAGTGGGCAAATATTTACATATGACGTGGGTGGTTGTTTTGTCAGGAAGTAGAGTTACTTTTCAAACTATAAAAATTTTACTTTCACTCTTCTTTTTTGTGTATTTTTTTTTTTCAAAATATACACAAAAAAGCCAGCACATGCGCCTAAAACATTGACGTTTCTATGTAAATACAATGTGTGTATACATTAATTTAACGCTGTCTACTCTTTTTAATCAAACATTTTTACACTTGTGATTCATTAGTCTCAATAGTAGAGAGGAGAATTAAAACTACATTAGAAATAACAACAAAATAGAAAAAAAAAGAAAAACTACGTAAAAACAAAAATTGTTTTGTATATGACATTGACAAAGGTCAAATTTATATACAAATGTTGCAGATACATTTTACTTATTTATCACGCAACATTTGAATGTTTTAGTTACGACATTCTGGAAATGTCAAATAAGATATTTTCTTGTTGAAATGGGAATGGAAGTCTATCGCTCACGCGTGTTCTTAATGCACACGCGTATAAATTTTTGAAAATAGACAAACACAAAATATTATATACATTTAAAAATGTATATGGAGATACCTAAAACTCTAAAAATTATTTGACTTCCTTGACATTGAAAATATCTACTGACTAAACACAAAAACAAGAAATTATCAAAGTATATAGTTAGATAGATATTCTTTATATTATATAGATGTGGTTTTGGAGATTTATTTTGTACTTATACAAACACACTATATATAAAAAATATTTGTCTTTTACTATTGTTTTAAAACACTTTCATAAATAAGTTGATAAATATTTTTTAATAATGCACTTTTCTTTATATATACTAGTATAAACACTTTATATATAAAAATGTATTTAGTGGAAAATTTATATATATTTTTTTAAATTTATTTTTTTTAATAATATGCACACACACCTTGCTTGTTGAACGGCCCAATTAAAACTGTTTTTTAAAACAAATTTCGACTATACTTTTTTCCTCGTATTTTTTTTATTTTTTAAGAGAAATCAAGAAGAAAACAACAAAAAACCAGCTACTATCAGTAAACAAGTATTTGGTGATATCAGGAAAGAAATACAACAACAACAACAATAAAAGACATAAGGGGCACACAAACAAATAGCGTAGTGTTGATAAAAATAACACCGAAATATAGGAAAAACAATAAAAATTATTATATATTTATGTATTATTTAATGTACATAATGTATAAGTTTTTAAATCCACGTTTTTTATATTTTTTATAAAAAAAAAAACTCTGCGTGATGTCTAGAATAAATATGAAAACGAGCCCCCCAAAAAACATACATTTACCAGATACTTGGATACAAAAAATCTTATATACACAAATTTAAATTAAAAAAAAGGTGTGTTTTTAAGTATGAAACCAGTTTTTAAAGTAGAATCACATAGATGTGGCTTTCGAAATAGCATGAATAGTAAAAATGTATGTTTGTTTAATAAATTTCATCAATACTATTTATCTGCTAGAGAGGAAAGATGTTTTAAGCTTAATTTTCCAAGAAATTGTGAAATTTCTGTATCTAAATAGTTAATGCAACTTTTAAGTTCTTATGGTTTTCAGTTGTTGTCATAACGATCAGTTTTTTAACAAAATTTCTTTTATGATTTTTATTTAAAAATATTTTTTTTTAATTATAATTACATAGAAATAATTTAAAACTTATGGTAGATTAGAATTTATAATTAATTCTAATCTATCGTTAAAAAAAAACAAATTTAATAATACAAAAAATCAGGTTTGCTATTTAAGCTTTCACGACTGTAGATAAAGAAGGTTCCTAATTGTGTTTTTTTATAGTTTAATGTTATTTTTAGTCTTGTTTATTTTAAATATTCTAGATTCGATTATGAAAACAAAGTTGTTTATACTTTTATGCATATTTTTTTTTAATTTAGTACTCGTGGATGATGTTTTTAATTCAAAACAAAACTAGAAAAACAATTTCGTCAATTAAAATTAAACTCTTGACAACAATATTAAAGTACAGATGTGTACAAATTAAAGGCATTATTCAATAAATTAATAATTATAGCTTTTTTAACAATTAAAGAAAACGAAAATAATAGGATTCAATTAAATATTAATAAAATTTCTCTTTTGAAAATTATTCATTTGTGACGGTTCAAGGCTGATAATTTAATGATCAGCTGTTTTTGTAGAAATAAAATGAACTATTTGGAACAAATTATTTTCAAATATTTATAGTATTTCAAAAAGTTTTTCGGTAATTATAATTTTTAGGGAAAAAATTTATTGCAATAACTTTTATTGCCTTATTCATAAACATTTATTAAAGGTTTATAGTAAAAAATTTTGTATGAAAATTTGATTTATATACCTTTGATAAAAGTTTATGAATAAGACCCTTAATATTTATCCATGTGATGTATTTATAAATAAACTGCATTAGGTATGGAATGTACTAGTTATTGTACTTTTTAAAAAATTTTGACATTGCAAAAAACCGTTCTACACCCACAACATATTAAGTACATTTCATTATATAAAGTTTACTGCCTATGTATATAGATTAGCCCATAGAATAGTCTACTGATTACTACACAATCTACAGAATATTTCATAGACTATAAGGAAGATTAATCAGTTGACTAGTCAATAGATTAGTTATTTGAATAGTCAATAGAATAGTACAAAGATTATTCAGTAGCCAATATCTAGTCAGTAGACTAATCTATAGTGCAATAGTTTTTTTTAACTATGTAGTTAATACAAGTAGTGCTTCTTTCGGATAAAGTTCTATTTAAAATTAAAAATTTTCATGCCCAAATTAATGTTGACTACTATCAGAAGAATTCAAGTTCTTCTATCTCACCCCCCAAGGCTTTGGCAATTTAAATTGCCATTGACCCTATGTACGACTATTGACGAAATCCATCAATTATAGAACCCATCTGTCGTGCTCGTGTTTTCAATACAAAGAAATAAATAAATTATTCAATTTATTTAATTCTTTTTATATTTCCTAATACTTTCACTTTTATTTCGCATGATAGAATCATGGGATAAAATGCTATAGAAATAAACAAAATAATAAAAGAGAACTTTTATAAATAGAAATGAGAGAAATATAAAGAAAACTAACAGAGAATGAGAAAAATTATTTTTGCACAAAATGCTAATGAGGGCGTAGCAGAAAAATGCAATTATGCATAAACTTAAAAAACTAAATAATTTACATTTTCACATACGATATAATTAGAGTTTGTGAAAAAAGGTTTGGGAATCAATGTTTGAATTTGAAGTGTCATTGTAAATGTCACTTTTAACTCGTTACGCAAAGTTATCATGGATAACGAGTTGTGAAGTATAAAAACTTCAAAAAATAACTTCACATCTAAAGTTTTATCCCAAAAATTATTTAATTTTAATGGAAAACAATAATTAACTATCACATCATGTTACCTGCAGTTGCAAAAGTATATTGTATCTCACAGATTTAAGTATTTTTCATTCTAAATACATACACAATTTACATATTGCACTTTGGTTGTAAGTGGTTACGAAATAGTTTTCTTTTTAATATTTGTGTTAAATGCACCTTTTTTATTCAAATAATTTATACAATTGAAATTTTCACAAAATTATTTTCACTTTTTTTTTATCACTTATTTACAAAAATAAGAAAAATTTGTAAAAAAAAAACTCACCTGCAAAATATGATAAATTAAATGTTCACAAATAGTTTTCTTATGTGGAATTATTCCCGGAGTTCTTTTGTTGCTTCTCTTCTGGAGTGCAAACGAAATACGACTTATATTCCAAATAAAATCTAAGCGAATATAAAAACAATTGATAATAAGCAAACGTCAAAAAGGTTGTTTGAAGGTCGTTGTAGCTAAACACTCGTTGCGAGTAACAATGTCAAAATGACAACATTACCAAAACAGGGTTGTTATAATATACATTTAATAAACAGTACAATAAAAGAATAAATTCATTTCTTTTAAACAATTGAACAATTTTGGATTATTATCAATGTAGAGATGGAAAAAGATTAAATAACCTATTGGGTAACATTCGGTAAAATGGGAGTATTGACTTAAAAAGGGATATTTTGAAAAATGGTGAGTATAAACTAAAATTCGTTGTGCAAATCAGCTTTAAAAAAACTTAAAAAAATACCTATTTTTTTGTTTTTATTGCAGCGAGAAAAATCAACAGTATCAGTTTTTGAAGAAGAACATTTAAAAGACTTTGCAAGCAGATTTTTCTGAACTACCGGATATATACCGGGTAGAATCCCATCTATAGTTATTATCAATGATAAAATATTTTAAAATTATAATAAAATATTTAATTTGTAATTGTTCCAGGAGTAGATAAATGCGGAAAACGGAAAAGAGGAGATTCAAAAGATGATACATTTGTAAAATTAAAAGGGGTAAAAGAGGTTGTTCTTATTCAATGAAATTGGATTTATTGCTAAATAAAAACACAAAACGGGATATTTCTATAGATTCGTATATAGCAATTAGTATTATCTGTTCAAAACTTTAAACTGTTCCATTTTTGTAAAAATATGTAATTATATTTTCATATAACATTCCTCTAATATGCGGGTACATTTATTGATTTCATGACGAATTCAGTGACGACACATATTGCAAATGAAGGTGACCTTTTTATAATGTTTACAAAGTACACTTTCATAATAAAATATTTAATATCGTCATTGTTCAAAGTCTTTTCGTCATTGCGTTGTAGATCGATAAGCCAATTCTTTGGCTAAGTGTTTTACCATTTCATCATTAATAAAGTTATTGAATGATTCACTGATGTGCGTGCCGCTCGCATGTATACATACGGTGACCATATTTTTTCAGCAAAATACAGAACAGGAGAAAATAAAATACACTAACCACCATTTTCTAAATCAGGTCAAAATTTCAATAGTCAATAAAGTTTTAAACATTAATATATTGATTGTTAGAAAAATAAAAATTTATTAATTAGTAAAGTACAAAAAGAAAACAAATGCATACTTTCTACTTATCAGTGTTGGTAAATGTTTATAGTTGAAAAAACTGTATTACCTACATTTGTGTCAGAATTTTTTAATATTTAAGTATTTCTTATGCGTTTTTATGTAAAACTGAAAAAATAACGAAATACTGAGCAAATACAGAACACTAAATAAAATACAGAACATTTTCAAGTTTCCTAGTAAAGAATAATTTATACAGAACAGGACTGTTCTGTATAATACAGAACGTCTGGTCACCGTATGTATACACGATATATGCATACCCAACAAGCAACTGATAAGCTTTTTAAAAACAAACATTATCTCATTCCGTTTGTAATTTATATAATTTAATTTTCCGATCCTGTAAAGTATATATGTAAATTCCGAGTCCTTATAGAAGACCGTAGATGTCTACGAGATCCGAATCTTCAATAATTCAATCAGACATGCTTTCGGAAAGAACGCTATTGCTATTGTCTAGAAACATAAAATTAAGCATGTATAGCCCGGACGAAACGAGAACCTCTAAGAGTGGACTTTTTGATACTTTTTCGTTATTCAAAGGTACTTTTTGAGTTTTTTTAATTGGAACTTCGAAACATGAAATTAAGCATGTAGGGCCCTGGGTAAATGAGAACTTATAAAATGGGAAATTTTGGTACTTTTTATACCCTCCACCACCATCAGTGGTGATAGAGGGTATATATAACTTTGTCATTCCGTGTGTAACACCAAGAAATATTCATCTGAGACCCAACAAAGTATATATATTCTGGGTCCTTATCAAATTCTGAGTCGATTTAGCTATGTCCGTCTGTCTGTGTAAAACACGCTCACGATAAAACGAAGCAATAGAGTTTAACCAAATTCACCCAAAATGTTCTTCATTTTCCTAAGTTGTTTGGTATTGCAAATGGGCAAAATCGGTTCACACCGGGAAAAGTTATGAATCAAAATTTAAAACAACGTCGAAAAAAATAAGCATTTTTTACACATTGTGATGTAATTTTCTCGAAAACTATGCAAGATAATTCCATGCAAATCACCATACATTCGTTTCTACACAAGAGCTTGATCCCTGCTGAAAATTGCCAGAATCGGTCCACAATTTCATATACCTCCCATACAAAAGTACATATTCCCGGAAAGTTTTTTGTTAATAACTTCCGCCACAATGTCGATATCTTCACAAAATTTTACAAATTAAAATCTTATGTCAATAGAATTCTTTCAGAGGAACAATTTTATGGATCGGTCCATAATTGGACATAGCTCCCATACAAGATCCCCTCCCGAAAATCACTTAAACGCGCATAACTCATTACTAAATTAAGATATCCATATAAAATTTGGTATAAGTATTGCCCATATGCATAGAAATATTACTGTGAAAGTGTTTTCCGATCGGTCCATAACTGGTCATAGCTCCCATACAAGGTCCCCTCCCGAAAATCACTTAAACGCGCATAACTCATTACTAAATTAAGATATCCATATAAAATTTGGTATAAATATTGCCCATATGTATAGAAATATTGCTGTGAAATGTTTTTTCGATCGGTCCATAATTGGTCATAGCTCCCATACAAGGTCCCCTCCCGAAAATCACTTAAACGCGCATAACTCATTACTAAATTAAGATATCTATATAAAATTTGGTATAAGTATTGCCCATATGCATAGAAATATTACTGTGAAATTTTTTTCCGATCGGTCCATGATTGATCATAGCTCCCATACAAGGTCCCCTCCCGAAAATCACTTAAACGCGCATAACTCATTACTAAATATAGATATCCATATAAAATTTGGTACAAGTATTACTCATAAACAGAGAAATATTACGAAATTTTTTTCCGATCGGTCCATAATTGGTCATAGCTCCCATACAAGGTCCTCTCCCGAAAATCACTTAAACGCGCATAACTCATTACTAAATTAAGATATCTATATAAAATTTGGTATAAGTATTGCCCATATGCATAGAAATATTACTGTGAAATTTTTTTCCGATCGGTCCATAATTGATCATAGCTCCCATACAAGGTCCCCTCCCGAAAATCACTTAAACGCGCATAACTCATTACTAAATTAAGATATCCATATAAAATTTGGTATAAGTATTGCCCATATGCATAGAAATATTACTGTGAAAGTTTTTTCCGATCGGTCCATAACTGGTCATACTCCCATACAAGGTCCCCTCCCGAAAATCACTTAAACGCACATAACTCATTACTAAATTAAGATATCCATATAAAGTTTGGCAGAAATATTGCTCATAAACAGAGAAATATTACTGTGAAATTGTTTTCCTATCGATCCATAATTGATCATAGCTCCCATACAAGGTCCCTTTCAGAAAAACACTTAAAAGCACATAACTCATTACCAAATAATGATATAAATAAGTACTATTTTTGTTCATAAATACTATTTTGTAATGCAAAAAACTGTTATTTCTAAATTTGTTCACGATCGGTCCATTCTTGGTCATAGCTCCCATACAAGGTTCCTTCCCGAAAATCACTTAAACGCACATAACTCATTACCAAATCTTGATATCCATACATTTAGCAAAAATATTGCTCTTATATACATAAATTACACTATAAAATTGTTTTACAATCGGTCCATATTTGGTCATAGCTCTCATACTAGGTCCCCTCCAGAAAATCACTTAAATGCACAATATTCATTACCAAAAAAAATTTTGAAATTTTGTCTTTATATACATAATTGGTCATAGCTCCCATACAAGGTCCTTTTACGAAAATCTCCTAGAAGCACATTTCTCATTACCAAATAAATCCATTGATACAACATTTGGCACAAATAATAGTTTTGTATAGAAAAATTATATTTCAAGATTTTTTCTCGATAGGCTCATAACATGGGTGCTGTTATGATGGAACCATACAAGGTTCCCTTCAGAAAATCACTAAAACGCACATTACTTATTACTAACTTACGATATATATACAAAATTTTACTGAAATATAGTTTTTATGTACAGAAATTTTGCTTAAAGAATTTTTTACGATCGGTCTATATTTGGTCATATCTCTCATACAAGGTCCTGCTCCTAAAAGCGCTTTAACCGTATTTAACTATTTGCATTATCAATTTGTGTAGAACAAAATTATATATATATATATATGTATGTATTTTGAAAATCCTTAAATCTTTCACACACATGCATACATGCAAATACTAAATATCGCTAAAGCATATCTTAGGGCGTTATAAAAATTTAAAAGAAAATGGCGTTTGTAATGTTCAATAAATCTTGGAATTGTAGTAGATTTAAGCTGTTTAAATCTTGGGATTTTTCTATTTAAGACATAAGAAAACTTATTTCTACAAATATTTTATTAATTAGAAATGTATTAATACAAAAGTTGCTGGTGGAGGGTATATAAGATTCGGCTCAGCCGAATATAGCACTCTAACTTGTTCGTTCTTCAAAAAGTGCTTTTGGAATTTTCTATAATATTGAATCTACACAGAGAAAACAGATTCGTTGGAGTAACCGAATTTGTTTCCAATCGAATTTAGTCGGTTCTAACAACTACCACATAATTCTATTGCAGTAACTGAAAAATTTGATTAGCATTTCCGAATACATGAAACTCCGAATTATTTTAAAAAATAATTCGGTAATGAGAATTGAAACTATTAGTATTTACAACTGAAATATTAATTATTATGCATTTATTTGTGGATTTTATTTATAAACAATAAAATTTTATAAAATATGTAAAATTGCTTTTAGATACACACATTTTAAATACTTCTCGCATCTCATTTAGGGGAATATTATGTACATGTTTGACCTTTGGTTGGAGCGACTTTTCTTCCAGTTTTTGGCGAAATATTCTACGTTGAACAGTTTGCATTTCTTGTAGATTTAAGTTACTTGCTTTAATTCCTGCAAACGCAATGAAATCTCTTAAAAGCAACTACAAAATGGATTTTTGATTGAACATTACCTTTTTCTATTTTATACGCCTGTATCATTAAAAATCAAGCCGCAACAGCAATTCCATTTATCTTTTCCAAATATTTGTAAATAACAATTTTTTTTAATAATATTTTTGTAGACGTCAACAAACACTACCAAATAATCGGTTGGAAATTTCGAATTTATTTAGACTATTTAACTTTTTCTACTGATAATTGGTTGTGATGGCGGAATAATGTTTATTTACCTAAAAATTTGTAGCTTCAACCTATTTTTCGGTTACAAATACTAATATTTGAAATAATTACATTTGAATGCTAAATTTAATTCGGTTGTATTTACCGAATTAGTAAAAAAAATTATATGAAAGATTAATTTGGTTAATATAATAATTTGGAAATTGTTAAAACCATAATTTGATTACAATCATAGATTTTCAGTTCTAAATATAGAAAATTACTTAAATGTATAGTTTTTTAATAGCGGCGATGGAATTTTAGTTAACTTTATTAAATATTTATAATGGAAACCGATTTCTTATCGATCTTTTTTCTGTGTGTAGGAAAATGAAAGTATGCATGTAAAGCCTGAAGTAAATGAAAACCAATAAAAGGGTGTTTTTTGGTACTTTTTCGTTCTTTAAAAGGTACTTTTTGAATTTTCTATAATATTGAAATTATAAACATGAAATTAACAAAATAGAGCCCGAAGTAAGTGAGAATATATAAAAGGGGACTTTTTA